AAATGCGCTGAGCAGCCCCTGATCCTCAGTGGGTCTCTGGGAAAGATGCCAGTGAGAGGGGACGTGGGTGGGGGTGTTTCTACATGTGCTCCTTGCTTCCAGGCCCAATAGAATCCCTATACGCTTAGATAAGACCTGCATCCTGTTCTACTGTGCAGTTTACTTTATGTCAAATATTCATCATCAAAGCTGTTACCAATAGACACATATGTAGTTGGCAGGGAAACATTATAGTCAGGTGGATAATAACATGAATTTTCAGAAGCTGCTGAAAACAAATCTATTCTCCTTTCTTCACCACAGCATCTTAGGTGAGCACTAAAATGCAGGAAAATCACACATGTTCTCATTCCAGGAAGAGTCCTGCAGCCTCACTAGGCAGGCCCACCTCTGTCCAGGAACCCCTGCAGGGGCGGCCAGGCCCAGGGTGAGAAGCCCAGGCCTGGATACGAGGTCTCACTGTGCCCTGATGTGTGCTCTCAAGCACATCACCTAACAAATCCAGGCAGCAGTTTAGCTTCACGTCTGTTAGATGCAGGTAAACTGCCACCTGCAGCACATGCTTGGTGTGAAAATGGAGAAACAAAATAATAAAAGAGGCCCTGAGTATTGGGGCCCAGGGTAGCCCACCCCAAAGTGCACCTCTGTTGTATATTGATTGCTGTGAATTAAAGTGACTTAAGAAAGAGCCAAGACAGAGGGACTCTGACCTTCCTTTCTGTCCCCCTGAAGCAAGAAATGAATCCCTCACGTGAAAGGTGCCCTCCATGCATCTGGAAAGGGAAGAACACCCTCATCACCCGAGATGGGAATTCGGGCCTGGAAGACTCTATGAACAAACCATGTGCCTTCTTTAATGCGCCACCCCGCCCCCAAGCCCTGCTTAGGCTCTACTAATTGACCAGCAAAAGCACACATTTCTTTGTCCTGTCAGCTCCTCAGAAGTATTGCATCTTTCTCTAAATAGATAAAAGCTGCCGGCTTTGGTCACTTCTGGGTCCATTTCTATGGCACGTCCATGCCTATGGTTAAAATGGTTTTCTTTTCTCCTGTTAATCTGTCTTTGTTAGTTTTATTAACAGTCCAGCCTCAGGAACTCAAGAGGGGCAGAGGACGAGATTTCCCTCCTGACAAACCCAAGTTGTCTTCTGTTCAGCCTCACGCTGTACAACCTCTTAGGAACCTCAGTCCTCACGGCCACTGTCACTCTGTTGACAACACCTTGCCAGGTGTGTTCTTCTGGCATCTCTACTTTGCATTTCCATCTCACCATTCGATATTTCTTCAAATCGCTGTGACATTTCAGTGTCCATTGTCTGGATATACACATTTTATTAGTCATTCCATACGAAAGGACATCTTGGTCTTTTCCAAATTGTGGCAAATATGAAAAAACTAAGTAAGCATCGTGTGCAGGGTTTTCTCTGGACTAAAGTCTTCTTGTCTTTCAGATACATACAAAGGAGCACTACTGCTAAAACATAGATACGGGTATGTTTAGTTTTGCAGGAAGCCCCCAAAATGTGTCCCAAGGTGCATCCCGTTCTGCATCCCCACCACCTGTGAATGAACCCCCTGCTGCTGCACATCCTGCAGGTGTTTAAGGTTCTCAGAGTCCTGATCTCATCCACTCTTGTAAGTTTTCAGGGATATGTCCTTGATCTGATTGGCACTTCCCTGTGAAATATGTTCTCCCACAGCCTTATTTGCAAACTCTTTGTCTATTTGGTCAGGTGTCTGTTAAGGATTTTAGCCCATTATTTAATACTTTTGTTTCTTTCTTATGGTTGAGTTTAAGGCTTCTTGGTACATATTAGATAACAATCAGATATACTAGATATGTCTTTTGCAAATATTTTCTGCCAATCTCTAGCTTGCCTCTGGGTAAATTTTAAATGTATTTTTTTTGCTTCTCAATTATTCGTTGTTGTGTTTCTATTACAATGAAAAGTGAAGTTAAACTTTCACTTCCTAAGCCATGGGAACTTCATGTGGGAACATGTCACGGTACACACAACGCCTCTTTCAGATACTACAAGGATGGAATCGGTAAACAGAGGTGGGACTTCGTCAGAGATGCACTTCTGGAAAAGTAGAAATGTACCAACGTGCCCTCCTTCCTGTGTTGCTGGTGACAACGGTGCTGCATGTCCACAGAGACACAGATCCTTGATGAGAGAGTGAGATTCCATCAGTTACAATGACCGTTTCCTAATGATAAATTTTACCCGTGATGGATCTGAGTTTATGAATGATTGTTACTTGAATGATTCAATGGATTTAGCAATGGTTGGAAACAAAATCAATTCCTTGAATTATTAATTTTAATTTATGTGGCCCCAGAGAAGTGTTTGACAATTACAATTTCAGTAACACATTTCCATAATTTTGACTTATGCCTCTTAAAATTTAGATACCATATTGTTTCATAATAAATGTCTCATTACATCTCTCACATTTGAAACTGGATTCCAAGTGGACCTAGAAGATGAAATGGGAGGACAGTGAATGTCTCTACAGTCAGTAACATCTAAGGCAACAAATCTAACATCACACGAGGACGCTGCTGATTTCCAAGAATAGCTCCTGCTCCTTCTTTTCTCAGTGATTCCAATAAACAAACTAAATGACCTAAACCATCTGGTCTCAATGTTCCTGAAGCTCACACCTCATTCTGAGCTTATACCCTCAAGATTTTATAAAGGAAAACACAGAGACCATAAGAAGGACCTGTCCACATGGCCCCCATGAACCCACCACCATCAGCCCTTCTCCCTCCCATCACGATGGTCAGGCCCTCTTGCTGTGACCATCACTGGTAACCTGCAGAGCGAGATGACTTAAGTCTCCCCACTTCATTTCCCATCACCCACTGGGCGTCTCTAATGCATATTCCCTCAAGCATTATCATATGAGCCAGTCTCCAGACATAATTCCCTCCAATTTTTCCACAAAGGAAAAATAACTTTTTTTAGTTCTGCTGACCGAACACATTTTTCCTAGGGTTAAATAGGCCCTAACAACACACCGCCACCCACTGAAACATAAAGACACCTGTTACATATCCTTCTATGTTAACACGAATTTGGCTGGATCTCCTCTAACCCACCAGCTCAGAAGGGCAGGTCACATGCTGGGGCATCTGCACAAATGCAGGCCCTTCTTCCACCTGGGGAATAAAGGGCCCACCTGGTTCCAGGTTTTAGATGCCATCCCTTCCGCTCCCCTATCCCACAGCGCATCAGCTCCATTTTCAGGTCGTGACGACAGGGTCCAGACTTGTCCTGTGATTCTTGCCCATATCACTGTGGTTGGCTCTCCTATTATCGACATTCAAGCAGGCAGATGCTTTAGTATTTAATTTCCTCTGCAAATATTATTGGAAAAGCTAGAAGTATAGTACTCTGTTCATGAAAGAGTATGGAGTAAATATCTTCTCACAGACAGCGGGCTCGACATCAGTCAGTGTACAGGTGAAATCACTGGGCTGAGGGAGAGCTGACCTGCCCCAGACACACAGGTGTGACCTCTCAGGGCAGGAGTGGAGCCAGCGCTACATGACAGGGTGTCAGTCAGACATGGGGCCTCACATTGGTCTTTCTGGTTCCCAGGAAAAGTAACATCACTGATGACACTCAAGTCAGCATTCAACAACCTTGGCCAACCCACTATAAATTTCACACATACCATTACCATCGTGATCCCCAATTTACACCTTGCAGACTGAAATGCAGATGGTGAAGGCACATCCTCACTTCCCACAGCAAGAGGCGATGGAGCTGTGTTCTGCTCTCCAGCACCATTTACTTAAATGACCTCAGGCACAGTCCCAGGACTCACTGACCCAGGGACTCAGGAGAGCATCTCTCCGGTGGTCTTTTCTATGGAAATTGCTTCCTGAGGTGAGGACTTTCCTCTGACCATGACACCCTCATACTCTGCAAGCCATTCACTGTGAAGGTTTACTTCCAAGAATCATGCATGTTCTCTCACCCAGTGCAGTGGGAACTGTGTTCCCTGAGCTCCAATTTCACTGGCTGTGACAGAATTAGAAATGAACACTTCTAGAGGGAGTGAGTCTGTGCACTGTGACCAGGTCACCTGCCCAGCATGTTGGAGTCCTGAGGAACTTCTAGGAGATGTCTGTTCTTAGACCATGATAGCCCTGGGGATTCCTCAACGTCCACCCGCAAGAAAGGAGCCCTGAAACTCGCGATGTTCCTGCAGACACTCAGTTGTGCACAGGACACAGGCAGGTCAGGCTACTGGCCATGTCAGCAGGGCTGGGATCCATGACCATCTCAGCAAGAATGACTACCTTGTCCACAAAATACATGGTGTGTTTAGTTGTTAAGAATAAATCCACCTCCAGAGCCACTCTTGATAAAATTTAAACTGTTTCACGTGAAGAAATATTCACCCAAGTTAAGGGAAACATGAAGTCTGTTGTGTATTATGATAAACATTAAATTTTACCTAACTTTGTCTGAATTCAATGTGATTATTACATGTATGGTTTCTCTCAAATACTTGCTCATCCAGCTAATAAACAGGAGGTAATGCAGAAAAGAAAAAAAAAGGAGTCTGTGTCTGACATCCTGGAGGACCCTGAATGTGTGATGGGTATTTATATGAAATATATACATCCATGGGATTAAAGTCTATTCCCCAAATCTGTCATTAATCCTTGAGCACAGCTGATTTCCTGACTAGCCCTTCAGCATCATTTCATTCCTGAACACAGAGTCCCCCAGGCATAGGGAGGGGACCCCAGGTGGAGGCTGAGTTCTCTGAGGGCACAGTCAGCACCCTCCTCAGGTGGAGCCCCAGAGACTGGGACCTCCCTTCACTACTTTCTGCTTTTTATAAAAAAGTCCCTCCCTTATGCAAATATCCCCTTAGACCACAAGATGAAAGCAAAGTACCTGTTCACTTAAATTCGGGTTTCTCCTCAGGCTTGAAGAGAACTTCTGGGCTTCCTGAATCGCATCTGCAGGAAGATGAATCCACTGTGGTTCTTCGTCTTCCTGGTGTCAGCTCCCAGAGGTGAGTGTCTCAGGGATTCAGACGTGAGCACATGGGGAAGCTGCATCTGAGCCCATGAGTCACCGTGGTTCTCTCTGTCCACAGGTGTCCTGTCCCAGGTGCAGCTGCAGGAGTCGGGACCCAGCCTGGTGAAGCCCTCCCAGACACTCTCCCTCACCTGCACTGTCTCTGGATTCTCATTAACCAGCTATGCTGTAGGCTGGGTCCGCCAGGCTTCAGGAAAGGGGCTGGAGTGGGTTGGTGAGATGGGTTATAGTGGAAGCACATATTATAACCCAACTCTTAAGTCCCGGCTCAGCATCACCAGGGACACCTCCAAGAGCCAAGTCTACTTATCGCTGAGCAGCCTGACAACTCAGGACACAGCCGTGTATTACTGTGCGAAAGACACAGTGAGGGGAAGTCAGTGTGAGCCCAGACACAAACCTTCCTGCACGGAGGCCCGTAACCACCAGGGGGCGCACAGGACCCAACAAGTACAGGGCTGACACCTGCAGCAGGGGCATATAGGGGCTGGGAGGGAATTCTTGTTAGAACATGTGCTTTCCTCTTCCGGTCCAGGACCTCTACCAGAGACCCTGTTCTGTATCCTAATGTTTTATTGTTGTGGATTATGAAGTGTCTAGAAATTTTTGTGTGCATGTACATATTTGCTTAATTTTTAATTTTATTATAGTTGTGTGTACATATATATATATTCATATGCACAGACACAATAATACTCAAGAATTAAGGTTGCTTTTCATTTCTTTGTTTACCTTTTTCTCAAAGGAGCTCAGAACAACCCTGCGGCTCACCATAATGTTCAATTTGAGCCTGAAGTCCGTGAAACTGGTAAATATCCTGAGAGTGCACATGGGATTATTAAACAGTTTTAATTGCTGTTTTGTTTTCGTAGATGTGGAAGGAAGAGACACACCATCCTGCTTTCACACAACCTGCACAAGCATTCTGAATTCTGAAGCAGACCGTGTTATAGACTCTAACGCCAGAGCGCTCCAATACTGCACATGCAATTATCCTCGTTATTCACAGATTCCTTATGTGCAAATTCACCTACTTCTAGCTTTTATGAGCACCCAAAAATAAATACTGTCATTTTCTGGTCATTCACGGACATTTACAAGGCAGCTGCTTGTTTGAATCATGCAACACACATGCGCGCGCGCACACACACACACACACACACACACACACACACACACACACACCCAGCTGAGGTCAGTCAAGGTGATGCTCTCTTTTCTTGTTTCAATTTCCGTCCTGTAATTGAGCACTTTCCGGGGTCAAATTAGTGCCATGCTTTTCACATCTCTTTGAATCTTGGAAATTGTTTAAAGTAGTCCCAGGCATAGGGCTGAGAAACATTCTAGTGTCCCTACGCACAAATGGCTGTGAGTGGACTTAGGGAAAATATACATGAGACATCAGCTTCATTCAGGCATGAGTTTTATGGCCGTGGGTGGTGAAATGATACTCATGTTTCCAATATAAACCTCATCCAAAGCCTTAAGACAAAACTTGCTGCTGCATATGGGATGCAGCCTTGGAAACTTGCCTTAATTCCAAATACAGCCTGGCAAGTGGGGGCTTATGGCCAAGAAGACGGTGGGGTGGAGTGGACGGGAAATTATTAAGAGAAGAAATACATGCTAAGGGGATTCTGGTTACATAGACTCAAAAGGATTCTAGCTAATGGGAGACCAGGGTGATCAGATACCATGTGTGTGATAGGAGGTTTGATGGCTTTGATCAAATACTGTGGTGATCAGAGTTCAAGGGTAGGGGATTCTCATTATTCTCACTTAGCAGACCTCTTGACAAAACCTGGCCATGCAAATATAAACACAGAAGCCCACAGGTCAAGACGAGTTGAGAAGAGAATTACAAGGATCTTGTTGGCTAAGGGGTGGTCAGGGGTCTTTGTCACACTTCAGAGGAGGAATAATGAACAGACAAGTACACCAGGGATGCACACACACACACAGAGAAAAGACCACCTGAGGACTCAGTGAAAAGAGGTCCACCTGCAAGCAAAGGAGAAAGGCCTGAGAAGGACCCAAACCTGCTGACACCGTGACCTTAGACTTCTTGCCTCCAGGCCTCAGAGGAAACCATTGCTGTTCTTTAATCCAGCCTGTCTGTTATTCTGTAATGGCCACACTAGCCAACTAGTACACCTATAACATAGACGCAGGTAGACATATATGGAAATGTAAGTATCGTACTGGAAAAGAAACATCACCCATTCTTCAGAGGTGACATGAAGCTGTGTCCACCCTGCATCTCAGCCAGCACCCTCCTCCACAGCCCTAGAGAAGGACCAGCCGTGACCATCTTGATATGGAAACATGCTTCCCACCTGCACATCACACCCAGGCTCAAGGGGAAAACACAGCACCTGTGTGACTCAGAGTCAGGGTTCTCATCTTCACTGACATAACTCTCTGAAAGTCAAAGCATTAATCAAAATGAATATGACAATCTTCTGGTCATCCATCCTCTTGCTGCCATCCCTCAGCTGTGAGCATCTCCTGGGTCTGAGGAAGGTGGAGTTATGGGATTCAGCTGTGAATCTCCTGGGTCTGAGGAAGGTGGAGTTATGGGATGACATCTGTGAAGGGGGTGTCTCCTTGTTTCTCCTTCCCCAGGTGTCCTGTCCCACGTGCTGGGGCAGGAATCGGACCCAGGACTATTGGAGAACCTCTCCCTTACCTGTTCAGTCTATGGATTCTCCATCACAAACAGTGCTGACTGCTGGGACTGGATCCCTCAGCCCCCAGAGAAAGGGCTGGGGTGACTGGGGTGCTTTGGTTCTGGAAATACCACAGCATACGAGATGTCTCTCCAAAAATGACTCTCCACCTCCAGAGACAGCTCACAAATTCAGTTTTCCCTGCAGCTCAGCTCCGTGATGACCTAGGACACAGCCCTGTGTTACTGTCCCAGGAGGTTCAGTGAGAAGTCAGGGTGAGTCCAGACACAACCCTCCCTGCAAGGACCGCTCAAACCACCAGGGGGCGCGCAGGGTCATCAGGAAACAAGAGTACCTATTACAGGGCAGATGCAGAAGATGTCATAGATGGATTTTCTATTAAACCTGTGGCTTCTCCCCTGGATCACTGCCGCCCCTGCAGGCTCCATCCGTAATAATTCCAGGGAGAGACTTCCCTGGTGGCCCAGTGGGTGGTTAGACCCTGAGCTCCCAATGCAGGGGACCCGGGTTCAATCTCTGGTTGGGAAGATAAATCCCGCATGTATGTCACAACTAAGAGTACACATGCCGCAACTAAGAAACAATGATTCCAGGGAAATTTCTTGTCTCTAATCTTGAGACTTTTTCATGGAGTCAGGCTTGTCTGTGTCTCCTCATCTATCTTTGGACAAGCTGCACACAAATATTTCTCCATGACACCTTTATTTGAAGATTAGGTCACTACTTTCTGTTATTAGTTGGCAAGTTTCTAATCATTTAATGACATAAATAATTTTTACTGTTGAAATTTAAATCTGCTTTCCACCACAGATGGATTTCCAATTCCTCTCATCCTGAAAATCTCTCCACTCCTGTCTGATGCAATGCCTTTCACTTGAATAGTATGAGTCCTGTTGATATTCAGAAATTGATGTCCATTAAGCACTGCAGTCATTCTCTCCTCAGAGGACATTTTAAAATGTCGGGACACAGGTTGGGCTGTAACATGTGGGCTGTGTTTCCTATACCATTTTATCTAGTGTGGAGATTGAAAACAGATAATTAGATAAAACAGAGAGATAGATAAAAGGGAACAGAAACAAGTATATCCTAATCGTATGGAAAATAACCATAAAAACTGACTACATAACCTTTTTTAGGGAGTAGTAAAGGCTCGAAAGGGTAAAGATGATACAAGCATCCGTATGGAGTTATTTGAATAAACATAAATATTCAAACAAATTTTGTAAATACTTTTCTAGCTCACTCCTCAGTCCCATGGTGAGTGTCTGGTTTTCTCTCTAAGAAATCGAGAAATATATTCCAATTGGCGGCCATTGGCTTTCCTTCCAGCAAGCGGATGAGGGGCCTTTTGCTCTACACCATCCCCTATATTTGAATTTCTTAGTATTTTCTGCTTTAACTGTTGTATTAAGTGAGTATCAATATCCCATCATCGTGTTCTTTTATGTTTCCTTAATGAAGAATCTTGTGAAAACCTTTTATCTCTTCTTTGTGGAAGCATCTTCAGATCACGGGCAAAGTGTTCATTATTTTCATTTTTTGTTGCTGTTGTTGAGCTGTGAATGTGCTGTATATTCATGATACAAGTCCTTTATAAATATGATACTAGAAAGCACATGCTCCACGTCTGTGCCTAATTCCCTGCTCAGTGAAGTTATTGTTACTGTTGCTGTTGTTGTTTGCAGGACAGAATTTTTAATGGATAAAGAAAAATTACAAATTTATTTTATGAATGATATTTGGGAAATTATACCTAAAGATTCATCATGAAACTCAAGGACACCCATAATTTCTGCCACGTCCCTACGCCAGGCCACTTTCAGGGATGGAGGGTTAAGTCCACCTTCCTGAAGGGAGGATGACCATGATGAGGTTCCTGAAGTTATTCCTTAAGGGAGATTTCTCCTACCTTCCCCATTAGATATATTTATTCAATCTCTTTATATAAGTATGGATCAAGGTATTTGTTTCATACCTTGTGTGAAGGTTATATACTAAGGCATTTTCTTTGCTTCTGTAATTGTTACAGCTTGTCACCCATGAGGAGCTCTTTCACATTGTCTCCTGTATCCTCTTTCCTGGCAGCTATCCATTTGTGTGAACACTTCCTTACTTTCTGGTGCCAAAAGAATCTGCAGGATAATCATGTGTATTCTCTTCTGTGGCCCTGGAATTAGCCATGCCTCACATGAGTTTTGGATCCTTTTCTGCAGAAGAGCATTAGCAACAAGAACAGTTGGTATTAGGACACTAATGCTGGTGTCCTGTCCACTGGGGGCTTTGCCTCTAGACCCTATAAGCTAAAAGACCTTGGAAATATATCTGTGTGCTCTACCCCACGTATACACACACACGTCTGCAACTATCTCTGTATCTCACCTTCTGACCTGTGTTAGGTAAATGTGAGACAATTCTAACATCTCCGATCCTAGTGCAACATCACTTGGGTAAATCCAGACTTTCCACCTTGCTTGTCTGTTACTTTCCATCCAACAGTGAGAAGCCTGGCTCCACCGATGCCATCCAGCTACTAATTGTTCAATTCCACATTCACAGTAGTAACTGAATGCTTAGCCTAACACCTGATGGAAATACCATTATCCACCAGGCTCTAGTGTTAACGTGCAGTGGCTTAGAACTTAGCCTTCACACTCCACTCATTTCCAAAGTCACTTAGGTCAAAACCTATTTTCCCACCATCTTCAGACATGTGAATTCATAAATTCACCATAATATTAGGTATCAACTCTACAGTGTGCATCATTCCATCCTTGAGTCTCTGACTCATAAATGAAATTTACATTTATATTCAATAAGGTTCACTCCTTCTGCTATTACTGTATATATTTTGACAAGTCCATAGTGCAAAGTTTCCACCCCTGCAATTTCATAGACAAGAATTTCACAGTCCTTAAATATTGCCCATGTTTCACATATCAAACTTCTCCCCAATTCCTGTTAAATGCTCATCCGCTTGCTTTATATATAGACTGAAGTTTTCCCAAATGTGAAATGGTGAAATTGAACGTTTTCAGACCGAATTTTTAAATAGCAATATGCATTTTGGATTCTCTCAGGTCCTTTCATGGTATAATAGTTAATTATTTAAATTGCTGAATACAATTCCACAGCATGAATACATCACGCATTGTTTATCTGCTAATTTATGGAAGAACATATTTGTGGCTTCCATTTTTTCTCAGTTGTAAATGAAGAGACCACAATAATTCACGGGCAGTCGATGATGGAGATATAAGTTTCAAGCCAGTTATGTTAATATTACGAGCATGACATCTGGGGTCTTACATTAAGCTCTGTCTAGGTGTGTCAGTGACTGCACGGAGGAAGGGCTCTGATGCAGAGACCACTCAGCTGTCCCAGGCATCGTGCTGAAAGGAAGTCAGAGCCCAAGCAATGTCCACACAAGGTGGACCCAAGGCCCAGTCCTCAGACCCGGCTCAGGCCCCAGCCTACAATCAGGGTCACCCTCCCTCACATGTGAGTGTGCATCACAGGAGCAGTTCCTGTAGCTGAACATGAGCCTCTCACAGCGACCCTGCATGGGGCAGGGTGGGCTTCCCTTCCGGGCCCTCCCTAAGCAGAGACGGTGAACAAAATAAAGAGCTGCTGTCAGTGGAAACTGTCAAGGGCTGTGGCAGGGTTTTGTGCGACAGTCAGCACCTGGAACATGATTATTCATTTCCGCATGCGATCCTATTTCATATGTGGTAAGTATATGGCACAGAGGGACTGGATGAGGGGACAAAGGTCACACTGTGAATGGAGATGCTATGAAACAGTGCAGATCCAAGTCCAGGGCCAAGGTCCTCCTCCCCAGGACGCAGGAGGACCTAAGAGCTCAGGCAGGAATCCTGCGCTGTCCCAGGTAGGAAGACACACCTGTGTGGATAGAGAGGTAACACCACCTGACTCACACTTTAGCAGGACCACGCTGACACTCCCGAGGTAGCTAGGAGACGTTGGGACACGATTACACCCCAACCACACTCCACGTCGAGGCATCCATCTCCAGTTTAAACTTGTAGTAGATTTTATTCCAGTCAGCAGCCTCTGTCAGGATTAACATTCTTATTCTTTGTTATTCTGTGAGGACTTGTCTCTCTCCAAGATTTAAATTTGTTGCTGTCTTCGTTCTATAATAATCTGATATATTGGTGAGAATTTGATAATGTGCAACTTGCCGCATTTTGAGACTGTTTTAAGAACAGTAAATAAGAAGCATTTTCTCAGCTGCTCATCTCTCTGCATCTCCAAGACGACTGTCAGCTTTATTGTAACACCCAGAAACTGGAGACAGTTCCAATATCACACATCAGCTTAATAAATAAGCCAATCATGCTATGATCATTCTTTAAATGCAACCTGCTATTAAAAGCAGGATTCTTGATACACACAAAAATATGACAGTATTCACAACTATTTGTGCTGAGTAAAATAAGCCATAACAATAAGAATACATATATTATGTTCCCACTTTTATAAATTCTAGAAAAGGAACAGTAACCTGCAGTAACACGGAAGATCAACGGTGATGTGGGGACAGGATGGAAGATAAGAAGGGACAGGAAGGAGGAAACCCAGAAACTACTGAAAATAATGAGAGGAAGTGATTTGTTCTCTCCTGATGCCTCCGTCAGTATTTATCAGAGTGTTCATTCTGAGTCTGTGCGCTTTATTATATATCAAGAACCTCATTAAAGTGATTACAAATAAAGAAATGCATGACTTGGGAGGGAAGGAGTGAACGGAAGATACTGAAACATAAGAGGATCCTGAAAATACTTGTCATCAACCCTGACCCCCTCCATACGTGTTAGGTAAACACGAGAAGAGAGCAAAGTCATCATGACCTCATTACAGGAGGGGGATCTGCAAACCTCACCCAGCAGCTCCAACTCTGTCCTCTAGTAGGTTCCAGGGAGCAGCCTGGCGCAGAGCTCAGGTGCAGATGCTGGATCTCACGGTCACCCCGTGTTTCCCCTTGGACATTACAGACACCCTGCATCCCTCTGGGTGCAGTTTACACCTCTAATATGAGGGTAACAATGACAGCTACATCACGGGACGTGTGTGCATATGTAAAATGACATATGGGTCCTAAGTGTTTACGCTGGAACAATCACACAAAGAAAGCTATATTTCCCAAATGCTATCAACACCACAAAATCCAAGACTCTCACACCTGCTCGGAGACCCTGCCCTTTCTGAGGACATTCAATGACATAGCCTCTTAT